TATAATATATAATATATAATATATAATATATAATATATAATATATACTATATAATTATATATATTGTATAGTGTATAATATATAGTATATAATATATTTTATTTTATTATTATTATACACTATATATTATATAACATATTTTATATATTATATACTATATATTATATACTATATATTATACATTATATATATTTTAGACTATATGCTACATAGTATATATTATATACTGTATATTACGTGTTTCATATTATATATTATATATTATATAATATTTTGAGCCTCTCAAATTCATATGTACTATATTAACAATATAGTACCTGACAATAAAAAGCAGCACAAATACTAATAATAATCATCATATATCATATCATAAAGAAAAAAAGAGTTGGCTGCCACAAAGCCCAATAAAAGAGAGACACGGAGACAGTGCCTCCATCTGTCTCCTCTTTTGGATGCCTCACCTCTTGCTGGTTTCTTTCTGTCTCCTCATCGCTGTCTTCGTCCTCGCTGCTGCTGCTGCTGCTGCTAGCCTCCTGGTTCGATATAAGGAGCTTCAGAAGCTTCTGGTCCCTTTCGGTGTCTACTTCCAAACTACCACCTTTGCGGCGTCCCCCTTTTACTTGCTGTACTAATTGCTTAGCCCTTAGCAGACGGAGAGCAGCAAAGTCCGCGTCTGTTAGCAGTCGCTCACCTCCACAAGGGATAGCCCCTGCTGCTGCTCCTGATGCTGCTTCTGGTTCGTTGGCGGCTGTTGCAGCTGTGGCTTCTGTTGGTGCTCCCGATGTTGCTGCTGCTGTTGCTGTTTCGTCCTCCCCTGCTGCAGGTTTTGGCTGGTGTTCTTCGCTGTCTATGTCTTCTTCTTCCTCTGTCTCTTCCTCTTCTTCAGCTTCGCTGTCTTCTTCACCACTGTCTGCTGCCTCTGTCTCTTCACTGCCTGTCTCCTCCGCATCCTGTGTATCTGCCTCTTCCTCATTAGCTTCGGTGTCTGTCATCTGGCCCTCGGCCTCACTATCTTCGGAGGCACTCTCCCCTTCTGTATTCTCTTCTTCTGCTCCTCCTCCTAAGAGCTGCTGCAGCTCCTCCTTCGATTGCTTCTTGAGGGCTTCCAGTTGCGGCAGCAGCTGCAAACTCGTGGAGACACTTGAAGCCCCAAACACGGGCGGAGACACCTGCGTACACCCCACCAGCACGGAACCCAACTACCTCGTTTGTCTTATCCGTCCATTTTTCGTTTGCATTGCAATCAATCCTACAATGCATGCTTCCTCATGCCTGGTGCTGCTGCTGCTGGGCGGCAGGCAATCACAAGCAGACAGAAGCACAGAAGCCTAATACTGCTCCTCTAATAGAACAGATAAAAGGCGTCAAGCGGCAAGAAAGACAGAACCAAGGAGGGACAAACATAAATGCAAAAAAGAAGCAAAACACAGCAACCCACGCCCTCACGGCGACAGCCAGCGAGGGACACAAGAAACCGAAACGGGGATACAAAAGACAACTTACGGAACGGCCGAAACACTAAAGGGACAACGACATTGCCAACGCTAAGAGGGACAGTAACGAGACGGTGAGAGTGCCATTCCGCATGGGAGATAATGAGGAGAAACAAGGAGGGTTTGCGCGGGACTGAGAGGCAGGGGAAGAGAGAGGAGACACATAAAAGGTGCCTCCTTTTAAACCACTCATCTTACATGGTCTCTTTGCAGCTTTATGGCGGCCTCCTTTCCTAAGAATGCACGCGGCAGCAACGTTGGGTGTATCTCCCTAAACAGATTGAGGAGACCTCGTGCGGCTGCGGAAACACTTTTGCTGTTCTTGTGTTTTGTATACTGCAGCAAATCCCCAAGAAGCTCGGGCGTCATGCAATGGGGATTCCTGCTGCAGATCTCCGTTATCTACGGCACACGGAAACCCCAAATCCTAAAGCCTAAATCATACGACCTGCGTCCTCAAGTTGTCTGCACGAGGGGGGCTGCAGGCTGCAAACAACGGGCTGGTGGACGACGTGGAACCTGAACCCAGACTTTAGCGAGAGTGAAGGCTTAGGGATTTGGGCAGTGTCGATGCTTTGGAGTATAGGGTAGAATGGATGTGTGACTATTTGTGTGTTTCTGCTCCACAGAGTTTAGGCTTTAGTGTTTCGGGTTTACAGCGTTGAGGCCCAGTGTGACGACTTCTTCTCCTCGTGTGTCTGAGACGAAGTTGTCAGCAATTGTCTTGAGGAGGGGTTTGACCTCGTCAGGAGGAACTGCTGCGTGCACTGAATTAGCAGCAATTGCAAGAAGAGAGGGGACAAGCCTCTGAGAGGGTTTTAAATATCTTTCCAGATAAGGATAGAGACTCAGCAACAAAACCTTGTGATGTGACACAAGACGAGATACCAAGTTCAAGAACACAACTCGAGTGCTGAAGCTCTCGCGCTGCTGCCGCACGCGAGCTGCACACACAATCAATACACCCCAAACCACAAACCGTAGATCATAAACCCTACATTGACAGAGGTGCGCATTGGCCCCGCTAACAACGATGTTGCCGAAAATGTAAAACTCAAAGCACGTCCTGAACACTAAACCTTAAACTGCAAACCCGAAATCATGAACCCTTAACCTTAGGGTTTTTAGAGTGAAGTACCGAAGAGTTTATCGGCGAGTGCGTGAGCATCGTAGATGAGGTCGAGAATGGCAGCAGACGCTGTGATGCCCCAATGGTTTTGCTGCGCCTCCAACCGCTGCTGCTTCCTAACAAGCCGCTTCTGCATGCGTTGCTGCAGCAGGGAAGACACGGCAGAACTCCTAAACTCTGAACCCTCACTCCATGCCGCTAGCAGAAATAGCACCAGGAGGATGCCCCAAACTGCGCAGTGCAATTCAGAACACGGGCTAGTGCTGGGGTGTACGCGCACCTTTTGCTTCTTGAGCTTCCGCTTCGCTGCCATTGTCTTCTTAGAATGCAAAACGCTTTTCTGCTGCAGCTCTGCTGCTGCAGCTGCAGCAACCGCCTCCTCCCCCTCTTCCTCGTCGGCTTGGATTGCGTGACTTGCTTGCACTGCAGCAGCCTGCGCAGCACCCAGCTGACCCACGACCGACACTGCTGGCTAACTGGCTAGCTACCTGCCTTCTGGCTAGCCAACCACTAACAGCTAGTTAGACCAGCAGCGACCTGGGTGCTCCGCTACGCTAGCCAGCTAAAGCCTCTGGAGCAGGGTAGCTGGCTAGCTCGGCGGCTCGCAGGTTGCTAGCTCCAACTAACTGGTCCGTCAGCTTGCTAGCAGCTAGCTCTCAGTTAGCTGCCAGTGATTTCGCATCTAGCTAGCAATTAGCTACAGTATATTGCCCACCTGAATCTCCCCCAAGAGAAAGAGAGCAGCGCTTAAGGCAAGCCGAGCGTCCCCTGCCAAAGTCAAGGCAGCAATGGCGTTGACTATTTTTGCAGAAGAGGAGCTGTTGCGAGTTAATCCCTTTGATGTGATGTGTCTGTACACCTGAAATAAGCAACACAGCGCCAAGCGAGCCGGCAAGGGAGAAGATCCGCTCTTTAGCAAAGCAAACAGGCGAGTCAGCAAAGAAGTCCGCGCCTGCAGAAACATACACAACAGACCCTAAACCGTATATACATAACAGTGCACTCCACAGTGCTGATTCGAGCCCCGGCTGTAGGCCCTATCCTGTAGAGGCATTCTAAGCAGGCTTCAAACCTTAAACCGTAATATCTCACTTGGTTGTTGGTCGTTGCCGCAAAAACCTTCGACACGTCTTTAACGACAAATGCCATTAGCCGCTGGCGAACAAATTTGTCTTTAATAGATAACAGAGACAGTGCTTGCTGCAGCAGCTCCTCGCAGCTCAGCTGCAACGAACACAGCAAGCCCTGGGCCCTAAACCCTAAACCCTAGGTCCACCCAGCTCGCGACTCACACCTCAAGGTCGGGAGACCCGAGCCAGCCAACGACTTTGCTCCCTGGCTCTCTACCTTGCAGGCATCTAGAGTTTAGGGTCTGCGGACCATTTTCTTGCTTCTGAGGAGCAGCAAGCTGTTCAACAGCGCATGTCGTGTGGTGGGGTGGAGGTCTGTCTGCAGCAAAAGCTCTTGCATAGCTTCTTTGAGCATAGCGCAGGGAGAGGGGCCCTCTGAGGGGGCCCCCAGGCCCACTGCCTGTCCTGGGAACGTCTCTGGGGCAAAAGCATCAAAGACGGGTGCCTCCTTTGGGGCCTCCGGGGGCCCCGTTACCCACGTATCTTCCGCTTCAACACTGTAGCAAGGAGCTGTCTGCAGCAGCAGCAACAACAGCGACAGCAGCAGCAGTAGCAGCAGCAGTAGAGAAAGCAGGTACAGCTCAGGAGCTTGAAGAACGGGGGGGACTGCCCGTCGGAAGCTTGAGGGTTTGGGGCCTAGGGGTGGGGGGTATAGGGTTTACGTGGGCCAGAAACATGGCGAGGCTCTGCAACTTTCTCGTCGGCCTGTACGGCTGCTCTTTTAGTGCTGCGACGAGACCTTCAAAATTTGACATTTGCAACTTGAATTCCTCGCGATAGGCCTCAGGGTCTCTCTTTATTTTGTTCTGCATCAAGCAGCAAACCCTAAACACTACACCCTAGAACTTAAACCCTAAACCTAAAGCTTGCAAACAGGGAGAGACAGCCACACAACGGGATGAGGAACCACCAAGCAACAATTCAAACCCTAAAAGCTAGTCAACATCTCAAAGCCTTCTCGGTGGGCCCCTACAATTTAAAACCATTCGCACAAACACCTTAAATCGTGGATGAAAGCCTAAACACCAAACCGTAAGAGAATGGGTCACCTGGAGCAGCGCCAGAGACATGACAGACTCCTCCTGGTCCTCGTTGAGACTCCCCATTTTGCCTGAAAGATTCTGAAGGCAAATACCTATAGGCTATGGTGGTTGCCCTAAAAATTGCGTGAGGAGCGGCCAGATTGCCGGCTCCTCCACTGTTGCTGAGGTTTACGTACACTTCAAGCTTCGCCGTGTAGTAATTTTGATTTTCTGCTGCAATGAGGGAGTCGAGGGAGAGGAAGACCAGGGGCGGTGGGCCCCACAGCAGCGCTGTGAAACCCTCAACCCTCAACTCTACACCCCAAACCCTAGCTCCGCTACTAGAGCTAAAAACAACGCCTCCGCTGATATATAAATACATCAAATAATTAAATTTCAGCGTTGAAAATACCTAAATGAGACAGGGTGGTGGAGAAGCAATTTGGGTTGGCAGTATCCTCGCGCATGCAGATAGAGGCCCTCGCTCTAGGGTCCACGGTTTAGGGTTTAATGTTTACCGTTAAGTTCTGCCTATTTGAAATTCACACGCAAAACCCTAAAACATAAAACATAAAACTGCAGTATCTGCATTCCGAACGTTTTATGTTTGCTTAGCTAGAACCTGAAGCTTCGATTCTGACTCGAGGGCCCTATGCCTACACTCTAAACCCGAAACCTTAAACCCGCAAGCTTCATTGTCTTACGTCCATGATTTTTCTTCCTTACGTTGCTTTTTGATGCTTGAAGGAGGGAATTTGACTCCTAATGTACCTGCAGCCGCCCCACTACCCGCTTCCTAAACACTAAACAGTCAATCGTAAATCCTAAACCCTAAACCCTCAGCAGGATGGAGGCGGAGGAGGTATCTTTGGGTTTTATGGAAGCAGAGCGAAGGGCACCTCGTTGGTTTTTCCCATCAAAAGTTGGGGGTCTGCCGCATTGGCATGCGTTGCCTCCTCCTCAAGATTTGTTTTGCGGTGTCTGTACACCTCAAGTGCCTCTGACGCTGCTGGTGCAGGTGAGACTTATGTTCTACACTATATGGTAGAGCATACGCTGTTTCTGTTGCTGCGGCTCCTTCTTCTCCACTTGCTGCTGAGGCTGGTGATGACGACAGCGCGTGCTGTTGATTGCACGAGAGCTAGTTCAGCAGTTGTTCCCCTGCAGCACTTGCTGCTGCGACAGTTGCTGGTGCATCAACTGCTGCAGCTTCTTCTCACTTTGGTGCTGCAACAATTGCAGCACCAGTGTGGAAGGAAATGTGGTTAAGGGTTGGTGTGCGCTGCTGTTGCTGCTCGTATTGTTTACCCCTGACGATGTCACTGGACTGCTGTTGCAGTTGCTGCTGCTGCATTTGTTGTTGTTGCTGCTGCTGCCGTTACTGCGCTGCAGCTGTACGCGCCTGTGGAAGATGCACCTCCGACTTCTTTTCACCGCTGCATTTATATATTTTGTTGTTTTTCTTGTGGCTCACATTTCCGTGCGGTGTCTGTACACCTCCCAAGAATAAACAACGAATATCCTGACTGTGCAATATCGACTTTCTTTCAATCGAAGAAGGAATTCTGGTCCATCTGGAGGGAGCAGGAACAACAACAGCAACAGAAGGACGGAGATGTGGAGAGGAATGATGGCAACAGCAGCAGCGCTGATACATCTCCGTCAGCAGCAGAAGCAGCAGCCTCTCAGAAGCAGCAGGAGCAGCAGCAGCAGATAATTGATGCTAATGCACAGGTAGATGTAGTAAAGAAGCTGCAGCAGGGGGAAGAAAGTCGAAGGGTTTGCTGCTGCCCTATGTGCGGCCTAGCAGGCGGAGAGACAGTTAGAGACACCGAGCTTGCTGCAGCTGCTGAGCTGCTGCAGCAGCAGCTGATGCGCGAAGAACGGAGACTGCAGGTTCTGCTTCTGCAGCAGCGGCAGGAGACAGAAGCAGCAGGAGCAGATGAGGAGACAGATACAGCAGCCTTGCAAGACCTCGACGAGACCGACTTCGAGAATGAAGACACAGAGGAAGATCAAAGGGGACTCTTTACCCTAGATACCGCTAACATACAAGGTACACAGAAGCCCTAAACCCTAGATATAGGAACACAACCACAGAGCCTGAGGTGCCAGCAACAGGCCTGTACAGCCTTGACTACTGAAGCGAGTCCCTCCCTAGCACAAACCCTAAACCCTAGACCCTAGTTCCGCCACTGCAAAAGCAGCAGCAGCTTTCTAGCGGTGGGAAGACAGACCGCAATTGCTCTGTGCTTCTTAACACTTGTGAGGGTTTAGGGCTTCTTAACGCTTGCGAGGGGTTAGGGTTTGATGCTGCGCTTGATATGTGCAGCTGTTCGCGTGTTGCATCCTCGATGCTTGAAGCGCCTAAAATTTGGATCTGTTTTTGTGTCTCTTCCTGAGTTCCCTCTTGCTGCGGAGACAGAAGAACGGAGGTGTACAGACACCGCAGCTCAGGAGACACTTGAGAGCGCCCTGCGCAGATTAGGACTGCAACGGGACAGCAACAAGCCACTTTCCCATGAAGAAGAACTCCTTAAAAGATACCAACAAACTATAGCAGAAACACCTGGTCAGCCGTTGCTGCTGCTTCTGTTGGAGTAGTCTTTGGGATGGGGTGTACCTAAGCTTTCTTTGTTTGTGCGCTTTCATTGGAAGTTGTACAAAACTGTCTTCGTTGAACTGCATGCATGCGCATACAGGGGCTTTCTGTGTTTTGCGGCGTGTAGTGTGTGATTCCAGGAGCACCAGGTGCTGCTGCACTAGAAAGGGCAGATAAGCAGCAGGTGTTGCTATATCTTTTGAGCAGGGGTGTAGTATCTCTCGAGGTGTATGTTGTATGCTTGTGCATAGACATTTGGGGCGCGCTTGATGTGCATGCGCGTGGAGAGGATTTTTTTTGTGTATTTGTTTGTCTTCCCTTGTTTGTTTGTTGCGGTTTTTAGAGGCAGATCTAGATGCTTCAGAGATGGACGCTTTTGAAGAACTTCATCTTGAGCACAGTTCACAAGACGCTCAGCTAGAGGTGTTTATTAAACGGTGCAAAGAACAACCCCACCAAAGGGGACATGTGCTGCGCTATGCCTACAAAGGGAAACCTCTTTGGCCCTTCTCTGCACAGCAACTCAAAGAGGCAGATGTCCCCCCGTGTGCCTGCGGGGCAAAGAGACACTTTGAATTTCAAGTTAGACATGCACACATATTCCTGCTGCTGCTTTGGGCGCTGCTGCAGCTGTTGGGGTCTTCCTGCTGTTGTAGGGGGTGCCGTTTTTCTATGGTGCCGCTGGCTGCAACGTGACCCTGTCTGTGTCTCGACAAGAGACCGAGGACAACCGTAAAGGGAAACGGAGACTGACGGAGACAAGCAACGAATGTTTTGTCTCCCTCCTGCAGTTGCGCTTGTGTGGGGTGTCTGTGGGGTTTGGGTGTCTTCGCAGGTGCAGCCTCAGCTGCTGTCCAAGCTAGTGGAGCACGTGGGGTCGAACGATCCCGCAGCAGTTGCAGCTTTAGAGCGTCTCTCTTTTGGGTTGTTAGCTGTCTACACTTGTTCGTCTCACTGCAGTGAGGTATCTCCTCAGCTGTCTCCTCAGTCGCTGTATACGTATATAGAAGAATTTGTGTATGCACAGCCGGACCCTTTCTACGGCTAAACGAGGGGAGGCACAGGAAGGGAGAGAAACTCAAAGACATGCTTATAAAGAAAACGAGACAAAAAATAACGAGAAAGACACAGACAAGGAGACAGAAGAGGGACAGAAAGAAGCAGAGAAAGAAAAACACCAAGAGAGACAGAGAATATAGACAAAAGAGAGGCAGAAGTAGAAGACACAGATACACAGTAAAATGTAGACATAGAACCAGGCATATGGAGTGACAGAAAGGGAAAGAGACACTAAGAGAGACAATAAGAGAGAAATAGAAGAGGCAAAAACTGAGCGGAAGAGGAAAGGATACAATAGAAGAGAAAGAAAAGGAGACAAAAAGAGGTGCAAGGAGACAAACTGAGACGAAGAGGTAGATAGAAGACAGTATGAGAGATACACGGAAAGGAGAGAGAGACACTATGACAGATACAGACAGAGACAGACTGAGAGAGAATAAAGGAGATAGAAGCACTAAGGCAGAGATGCATAATGAAAAGGAACAAAAGGGGCAAAAATAAAGTAGGAGAGATTAAGTGACAGACACAGCGGGCTTAGTGACAGCGCACAAAAGGCAGAGAACAATAACAGCTGTGGAGAAACTTAAAGGGACAGACGAAGGAGACACAAGAAAGATAAGAGATTGAAGAGGAGACGAGCAAATAGCAGAGACGCTTGGACCTAAAGCAGGGGAATGAAGGAGACACAAAGAAAATAAGCAACGACAGACACAAGAGGCGCTAGCTGCACACTCCGTTGCTGCTGCTGTTATCTAGAAAAAAAAAGACACACGCGCTATACAACGGCTAGCAGTGAATTCTGCAGCTGCTGCTGTTGTTCCTCTTGCTGATGTTGCCTAGAGAGTAGAGGCAAAGCCGAGAGGCATGCGTATACATTCAGCGATAAACTTGTGTAGGCGTTACTTGCTTGTTTGCTCGGCCGCTGCACCATAGCAACAGCAGGTCAGAGCTAGAAGCAACAGTAGTAGCAGTGTCAGCGACTGCAACAACAACGAGGCACTTTCTCTAGAGCAGCAACACAACAGCTGCTGCGGGAGCAGCTGCTCCAGCGACAGATGCTGAAGGAACGGCTGCTGCAGCAACAGCCGTAGCACCGGTAACAGCAGCAGCAATGGCAGACACAGCAACTTCTACTGCATGTGTTATTGTTTCCCTTGCAGATGACGTTGTGCAGCCAGTTTGCTGTATCACTGCAGCACGGTGGAGACAGATGGAGACAGCTAGGGAGGGAGACACTTTTGCTGCGGCAGCAGTTTCGAGCTGCAGATGCGCCCGAAGGCAGTTGGATATATTTTAAAGTTTCAAGAAGATGAGGGACAGGAAACCGAGTTGTCGCTGTTTGCGGAGTGTACGTACAGCGGGATGGTCTGCTGTTTGCGCGAGCAGCAGGAGCAGGAGCAGGAGCAGCAACAGCGGCAGCCCGTAGATTTAGCAGCAGGGCAGCTGTTCCCTAAACAGGAAAACGAGATTTAAAGAGTTAAATTGTTACTTTTTCTTGTGGATAATTATACACAATTCTTTTAGTGCTGCTGTGAGGCTGAGTGGTACATAACCTCACAAGAAGGGACAGAAGAAGGGGCGGTGGTTCGGTCTGGGCCTTGCTTGTGCGGCTGCTGCTGCTTAAGTTGCTGCAACTACTGCTGCAACTGCTACTGCTGCAGTGATTTTGTTTCTTTTTGCTGCTATTTAAATACTTTAGGAACAAATTCATTAACTTGTTTCGGGGATGAGTAGACACCGCAGAAGTCCCTGAGCCTGGCGGGGGAGGAGGCCTACAGGCGCGCAGACAGCGGAGGACAGCAACAACAATGTTGCAGCAGCTCCTGCTGCTGCTGCACCTGCTGCAGCGAAATATAATGCTGCAGCAGCTGCTGCTGTTGGGCTGCACGGTAAGATCCGCTGCTGCAGGGCCCTTAGCACGCACTGGTTGCACTACAACTAGCGGGGGGACACGGTATACATACACCCGAACCACACACCACAAACTCAATCTCTTCTTTCCTTCTCAGGCCATCCTGCTGCAGCCAGGCCTGGCGACTGCAACGGAGGATTCGCCGTCTCTTCCGTTTCCTTCCCATGACTCCACCCGTGAGGGGCAAACAAACCCTAAGCACTATACCTTAAACTCTACACAACTTGGCAATAATCAGTCATGGTAGTCTACGACTGCTTTGAAACAGCGGATGTCCGATCAGTATCTATGGGGATAAGGGCTTGCGGTGTGCAGGGAACTCTCTGTCACCCCTTTTGCTGCGTTGTTGTTGCTGTTGCTGTTGTTGCTGCTGCTTCTGTTGCTGCACCAGATAGGGGCCGAAGCCTGTCCCACGTTCTGCTTCAATTACCTCCCAGTCTTTTGCCTGCATCTGGCCAACACCTGGACGATTCAGATGTGCGTACACCTCGTTCAAATCGAGCCAAGAGCTGCGCTGCAGGGCCCTCTTCCTGCAGTACCTCCCCAGATACATCTTCTAATTACGTGAAACAACAGCTAGCTGAGGAGGTCCCTCAAGGGTCCCTTCAGGGGGATCCTTCTGATGCCTTTGGGTCTCGGGGAGCTTCGGTGTCGTTACACCCCAGCCAACATCCGCCGAAGTTATCATTTCTGCAGGGAACTGAAACAAGTCGTTTTTCTGCATCTAGCAGCCAAAACCCCATGAAACAGTTGGAGCGTGCAGTGAAAGAAGCCTTTTACTCTTATCCCTTGTATGAAAGCCATTTTTTGAAGTTATATTTGCACCGCGAAGGACAGAAGAAACTTCTTGCTGACATCCATAGGGCCGGGGGATTCGATGTGGATGTACACCCCGAAGCCTCAGAAGAATGGCAGTGGATGGGCTCGCTCGCTAGAAGCTACCTCCGTAAGTGTTGCTATTCAGGGTTTAGGGTCTAGGATTTGGGGTTTTGTTTGCTTCTTGGGACGTTCTAACTTGCCGGTTTGGGGTCTAGCTTCAGCTGTGGGTTGTTCAGTGTTTAGGGTGTTGTGCTTGAGGTTTGGGGTTTTACCACAAACTAAGCAGCATGCACAGCGCATGCATTTTGTGCTTCCATGTTTTGTGTGGAGTTTTATGCCCATGCTTGAGTTTTAGTGTTTAGCGTAGAGGAGATCGGACAGGGGTCTTTGATGGTTCTGACTGTTAGGTTTTAGGGTTTAGCGTAAATGGAGGTTATATGGGTAGAGAATGTTTTCGCCGCTCTAGTGTTTATTTTTTAGGGTAGTGGAGGAAATTGGCAAGAGTATTTGGGGGGATTTGGGTGTTTACAGTTTAGGGTTTGGGTGTTGTTTTGCATGCACAGAAAAGGACGCAGGAGCAGAGGAAACCAAAAGTTCTGCTTCCTTTTTGAGCATATCTACACCGGAGGTGCCGCAGACTCTGTCGGTGCTTCAGTCTCATTTAGACGAGCAATGCCAGTTGTTATTTCCTCTAGGCACCCCAAGTGCAGCGCGCTTGCAGGGAAGCGACGTGTTTTGCTTTCCCCTCTCGTCACTCGACCTGAATCAGAAGGGCTTCTGCGTAGACGTCTGTTTTAATCAGTTTGAATGTCCTGGAAAGCCAACAGACGCATCGCAGGCAATCCAGCTGGATATAGACAGACCCCGGGAACTGAAACGATGGTGCAGTGAGGCTTCTCCCTATTATATATATATATA